TCTAAGTGGTATGAAAATTATCCCAGGGAACAATCACCTTTTAGTGGCAGTGGTAACCGCTCACTAATGGCTCAGCAAGTTAAACGACTCATCTCTGATTTACATGATATCATTGAGCACAGTGCACAGATGTCAAAACATTACAACAGTCTCATCTTATCCACAACAACTCTGCTTACCTTCGATAAGCATGCCGCAGGAATGATGAGAGAGATCAGGAAGGACAAAAGAATGAAACAATAAAGCACACTGAGTACTCGCTACCTTCCTTCCATGTTTCTTTTCCATTATTTACTTTCCTGAGTACTGTTGCACTGGTAATATCAATGCTAACTCAACAAGATGGCATCACGAGACACGCAGCAGTGCGGGGCAGAGGCCAAATAGCTCTCTACTAGGGGTCAGACCCAGCTTTTTTTTTTTTGGAAGGGAGCCAAATGCCGACTATTAGCGGGTCCACTCGTGTTTGAAAAACCCATGCCAACCTGCTAATTTCAGTGGGAAAGCGGCTTAAGTGATGTGAATTTTTTTGGGGGGATGAACTAGAACTAGTGTCAGCTAAAACAGGGGATCTGTTTGACTTTCATTTTCCTTCCATTGCTCTAGGGATAACGTTTTTATGAATTCAACTGACCATAACATCTTTCTACAAACGGCATATGCATTATTATAGATAATTATACTACAAAACCAAACTATAACTAGGCATAAGGCAATGCATTAGATGTGGGATAATCTCCCATCTTAAAATCACGTCCTTAATATTTTATAAAGCATTAAAGGTGGTCCAAAAGCTTTGACTCTGTAAAGTCATGGGTTGATGATGAATTAGTGTCAATAGACAAAAGGCTCATGAAAAGTCTCTGTGAGATCACTAAATTTAAGAATACCAAAAAACAAATTTATATAAGATGACAGTGTTTTTTTCACTTTCCATGAAAAGTTATGCAAGATATGTCAATTTTCTTCATACAATGCTTCATTGTTTCAAAGGAGGCAACTATGTAAGATAATATGAAGATCACACATTCCTTACAGATAACAATTGAAAAAACTTTCTATACACTTTATAAAAACATTCTATACATTTTAAAATCAGGGGCTTCATTTAGAGTCTAGCTGTAATAAAAAATATAAATACTTTAATATTTTAAATTCAAATAGTGATTGGTGCCTACTTTTTACCAATATGGGGATACTCCTATCCTGGGTTGATCGACCAGGAAAATGTGCAGAACATCTCAGATGATTTCCATGGTCTTTGGCTGATGGTGTGAATGTCAGTGTGGAAGTAATTTTCCACCAAGTCCCATCTTTGTAAGTATTACTGGTAGCTGGCATGTTAGCATAGTTCCAAGTAAACTTTGGTTCATTGTTAGAGCAACTGTATGAAACAGAACACGTTACCGTGCTTGCAACTCCTTCAAGATATTCACTTGATGAGGAGCTGATAGTCAATGATGAAAAAGAACCTGAAATAAAAAGAGGAGAATCATGACTGAAACACATTTACAGACATTTGGTTGATGAATTAGATATTAAGAGTTATCACTAACATTCTGCATAAAGGGTTTCAGATTTTTTTGCTGTTTTACCACCTGGATGCCAGACAATGCACTCCACAACTTGGTAGTTTCTATCTAAGACTAAATCTGTTGTTAAAGAGGTTATAATAGTGCCATCAGACATCGCATTGTGAGTTAAATATCCGTTTCTCAGTGGGATGTTTAAGTAAAGATCCAGGCGATTGGTGGAGCATGTGTGTTCAGCAGAACATTTTACAGTTACAGTATTTCCAGCTTTTCTTTCACCGGTGATCGTAATCTCTGGTGCCTTTGGTGAGTCTATGGAAGAAATGTAGAGACTTGAAAATATATCTTACAACTTATTATGTAATTGTGTTCAAGGTTTTAACTGAGAGCATACCAAT